GAGTGGACTCTAAAACTGCTACAGCTTGTGTGATGGTATGCATCTAGAATCCCAGCACTAGAGAAGCAGAGGCCAAGAGGATCTAAGATTGAAAACTCTTCTATGAATTAGGCTTGTGTTGAAACGAATGATTTGTGAAACGCTGATGCCTATCTGTAGTCCAGCTACTTGGAAAGGTTGAGACAAAGAGGATCACTTGAGCCCAGGAGTTCGAGGCCACCCGCACAGCATAGTGGGATCTTAACCCCCCCTAAAAAAAAAAAGAAAGAAAGGAAAGAAAAGAGAAGAAAGAAAAAGAAAAAAGTGGTTTGTTAAATTCAAGATTTCCGACTGGTTGGCATCAAACCTTTTCAGAAGGGGCTGGGAAGGTGGCTCAGTGGTAGAGCACTCAGGCCTTGCATGCCTGAGGCCCTGGGTTGGATTCCTCAGCACCACATAAGCAAAAAGAAAAAAAATCCAGAAGTGGCACTGTGGCTCAAGTGGTAGAGCGCTAGCCTTGAGGTGAAGAGCTGAGGGACAGCACCCAGGCCCAGAGTTCAGGCCCCATGACCGGACCCAAAAACAAAACAAAACAAAAACAAAAACCTTTTCAGAAAAAAAGCATGGATATAATGGCATCCACAGAAAGTAGGAGAACATGAGAGAATGCATAGATCTACATAGTGCAGTGTCTGGCTGCAATTGGTACCCGTGGCTATAGTGCTAGCAGTGAAAGAAGCCACAGCTGCTGTTAAAGACCTGGCTCCTTGAACCTCAGGTTACTGGCTTCCCTTTGCTGCTCTTCAAGAAGTGCCTTTAGAAGGAGTGAATCCTTTATCTACATTAGGTAGATAAGTCTAGGCTAGGCTCCAGTGGCTCACTCCTATAACCTTAGCTACTTAGGAAGCTGAGATCTGATGATAGAAGTTTAAGGCCAGCTGGGGCAGTAAAGTCCGAGAGACTCTCATCTCTAATTAACCAGTAGAAAACCAGGAGTGGTGCTGTGGCTCAAAGTGGTAGAATGCTAGCCTTGAACAGAAAAATCTCAGAGACAATGTCCAAGTCCCAAGTTCAAGCCCCACAACTAACAAAAGAGAGATTTGGGGAGGGAGGGAGGGAAGGAGAGAGAAAGGGGAGAGAGGGAAGGGGGAGGGAAGAAGGGAGGGGGTGAGGGAGAGAGGGAGAGACACAAAACAAAACAAAAGACAGTCTACTACTGAGATGCCTACCCCACGGAGCCAAGGCTATGGTCATTTCTTCACTCTTGTTAAACATTAGGCTTTTGGTAAAGACTGGGAAGACTCCAGAAGATACAGGTCCTTGACCTTAGCTCTCTTGGGGCATTTAACTCAGTGAATTATCCTTAGACAATCTCTTTGGACTGGTTGAAGATGAGGTAGAAGAGGAGAGGAACAGAACCATCAAGCAAGAAAGGCCTTGGGCTGGGAATGTGGCTTAGTGGTAGAGTGCTTGCCTGGCATGCATGAAGCCCTCTGTTCAATTCCTCAGTACCACATAAACAGAAAAGCCAGAAGTGGCGCTGTGGCTCAAGTGGTAGCGCACTATCCTTGAGCAAAAGAAGCTCAGGGACAGTACCCAGGCCCTGAGTTGAAGCCCCAGGACTGGCAAAAAGAAAAAAAGAAAAAGAAAGAAAGAAAGAAAGAAAGAAAGGCACCCACTTTATTGGCTAGTTAAAAAGAGTTTTTAGCAGGGTGCTGGCTCACGCCTATAATCCTAGCTACTCAGAAGGCTGAGATCTGAGGATTGAGGTTCAAAGTCCTTGAGGACTTTGAGTCCTTGAGACTCTTTTTTTGTTTTGTTTTGTTTTTGTTTTTTGCAGGTCATGGGGCCTGAACTCTGGGTCTGGGCGCTGTCCCTCAGCTCTTCAGCCCAAGGCTAGCGCTCTACCACTGGAGCCACAGCACCACTTCCGGCTTTTTCTGTTTATGTGGTGCTGAGGAATCAAACCCAGGGCCTCTTGCTTGCAAGGCATGCACTCTACCACTGAGCTACCTTCCCAGCCCCTCCTTGAGACTCTTATCTCCAATTAACCACCAGAAAACCAGAAGTGGCTGTGGGTAAAGTTGTAGAGTGCTTGCCCTGAGCTGAAGGGCTGAAGGACAGCACCCAGGCCTAGAGTTCAAGCCCCACGATGGACCAAAAAAAAAGTTTGGCTTCTCTCTGGGCCCTGTCTCAAGCTTTATAAAGTAGATTATTTCAATATGTTTTCCTGTAACATGCTTGCCTATAAATAACTGTTGGGAACTTTTTTTTATTTGGCTTGAACTCAGGACATCTCCCTCTCATTTGGCCTTTTCACTCACGGTTGGCACTCCATCACTGGAGTTACCCAGTCTAGCATTTTGCCAATTAATTGGAAATAGTGTCTCCTGGATGTTTTTATTTCCCCCAACTAACTTTAAACCGTCTTCCAGCTGGGCACTGGTAGCTTACGCCCATAAGCCTCGCTACTCAGGAGGCTGAGATCTGAGGATCCTGGTTCAAAGCCAGCCCAGGCAGGAAAGTTCATAAGACTCTTATCTCCAATAAACCGCCAGAAAACTGGAAGTGGCACTGTAGCTCAAGTGGTAGAGTGCTTGTCTTGGGCTGAAGAGCTCAAGGACAGTACCTAGGGCCAGAGATCAAGCCCCGTGTCCAACAGGAAAAAAAAAATCCTCCAAGTCTCAGCCTCCTTACGGGTATGAGCTACTGGTGCTTAGCTCGTCTTATGCAAAGCTAGCTCATATTTATTTATTTATTTTTTGGTCCAGTCGTGGGGCCTGAACTCTGGGCTTGGGCACTGTCCCTCAGCTTTTCAGCTCAAGGCTAGCTCATTTTTATAAAGGTAAAAGCTTTTAAAGAAATGAATACCATCAAGTGAGTTGGGACAGGAAGAAGCAGAGTGCTTTCCTGGTGATTTGGAATACTGCCCTGTTCTATCACTTGGCTACAGCACAGGATCCAGGTCATTTGGTTTGGTTGAGCAAGCTGAGCAACTTCTAAATCCTCCATCCTCTTCCAGGAAGTAGTTAAGTTGGCAGAGGCCTAAGGTAGAGCAAAGAGGATGGGGGAGGTGGAGAGAGCAGATATACCGAATATAGGAAAGGATTCATTCCTTTTAAAGGCACTTCCTGCAAACAGTAATTGTCAGGGAGAAGCACAGAACTCTGTTCCATCCAAATGAAACTTGATGCAATGTAAAGGCCTCTTATCTCTTTGAGTCACCATGAGCTTCCTCCTTCAGGCCCTCTCACGTGAGACATTCCAAGTCATGATGAATGTGTTCAACAGGAGCTCATCTCGTGAGCAAGTGCATGCAACCACTTTACATATTACCTGGAAGTCCTCATCACCTGGTAGATTAGGACAGAAGGCCTGGACCAGATCCTGCTCTCCCTGGGCTGGAGATTTAGTGGAGTAGATTCAGGCTACTCAATTGGGTTGGAACAGAGCTAGTAAAGACTGGCAGGGAGCACGACCTTCCCATATCTCCCAGGAGCCCTCCTCGAGTTGGGATGATGTCATACAGGAAAGGAAGGGTCTGGCCCCTCCAGCAGCCTGTGGGAGCTCCACAGTGGAAAAGACAGGTCAGAGTCAATCTTTGAACACAACACCAGTATATTTATGTGCACAGATATGAAACAGAAGAGACAGAGACCAACAGAGACACAGCAGGCAATGGATTCACAAACCAGTCAGATGTCTTTCTCAAGAGCTGACTAGGCGGGGACCACAGCCCCACTCACCTCAGAGGCTCCCTCCCAAAGCTGAGGCCTGGAGCTCTGCCAGGTCTGGGTGGCCTTGGCCACCAGGGCCCAGGCCTCTGGCCTCTGCTCCCAGCTTCTGGATAGCCCAGAACTTCATAAACACATTCTCACTGACCCACCCAGCAAGTGCCTTCCTGGGAGACCCCATACAGAACAAGCTAGTGGCCAGCACAAAGGGCCCTCCCTACATATTATTGCTGAGAATAAGCATAGGCCATTGTGACTGGCTGGCATTGAGGAAGGGACAGGGCAGGAGGCCTAGCAGACATCCAAAGCAGCTCAACCATGCATGTTTGTGATATGTAACTCGGAGATTCTGCCATGGCCAGTGGAGTGGCTCAGGATTCCAGAGACTCATAAAAGGCCAGCAGACCCTGCACCAGCACTCCCAAAATGCTATCAACAGCGGGACTAGCATCACACTGAACTTCTAAGCCCTGGGCACTAAGGAAATGGAGTCCAGAAGATACACAGTAGAGTTGAAGTATGGGCTGCCTGTAGAGGGATCCAAGCCTGCAGTTCCTGTGGTCAGGCCATGTATTGTAACTTCCCCTAGTTAAGGGGGGGAGGGGCCATACGGAGGGGGTTGCTCTGTGTTCCATAAGGAGTCATAGGAGCAATTGAGGGGAGGGCACCTAAAGGAAGCAGATTTGTAATGCTGAATATTGCCAGGCACACAAGCCCACTCCAGGAACTCCAGGGCTTGGGATTTCGAGGACATGGAAAGAACTTGGTGCCAGGGAATACCTACAAGGCAACATCTTGAGTGGTAAGACCTGGGGGGGGTGCTCTCCCAGGGCTTTTGGGCTGGCATAAGGGAACTCCTCGGCTGGCAAGAGCTCAGCAAATTGATCACCAGATTCATTCAGAAGGAGGTTGTTCACACAGGAGATTGCAAGAGATTGATAGCACAGAGCTGGGGGAAAACCACTGTCCAGTGGAAACTAGGGATCCTCTCCACCTACAGATGGAAAGCAAATACCCCCTCCCTCAAGAAAATCTGAACACTAGGAGCCCTAGATGCCCAGAAACTGGGGTCACAAGATCAAATGCAGGGCTAGCCATCCATTGTGTGCAGTTTGAGATTTGAGAACCAGCCTGGGAACCACCTGGAGACCTGTCCCCAGACAGAACTGCAGGGGAAAAAAAAATACTACCAAAGGCCAAGTTTCCAAGCCTTTCTCTGGACCCAGACATCAGATGGTAGCTAGCTGCCCTGGCTGCTGTGGTCTGTATGACCCAGACAGAACAACGCAGGAGGAGATTCTTTTTAATTATCTAAATGCTAAAAGAAAGGAAATGTTAGCTTTCACCTCCTAATCCTAGGGTGACCAACAGAGCATGTCTCACAGGATGGCACACTCGCTTATAGACCCCTTCCCTCAAGAATGAGGGACAGAGCCCAAGAGGGCCCGGAATGAAGATCTTACCTGTCCACTGCCAGCATTGGACCTGTCATGGAAAGGGGAGCCAACCAAGATGGCGATGCCCATGAGTTGTGGCATGGCTAATACTGTTGGAGGGACAAAACTCGGTGGGTCAGCCTTGCTGGAAGGGTTGGAAAAGGGGCAGCCCTGAGATTTTGCTGCAGAGCTGGGCCATGGTAGAATCAGAACCCATCCATTGTTGTAGAGGGAGGCTCCAAAGAGTCCTCTTTCGGTTCCTCATTTCCATAGAGCTCCTGGCCCCTAGGAAGCTGACGGGCTTGAAAATCCATTTTCAAAGTCAAATATGACCTGGAGCTTTGCTTTTTTCCCCCATGGAACTGATTTGTCTCTAGGCTCCCATTGGGATCCACAGGGGCCCTCTCAGCTGATCTGTGCACTGGGGAATAAATACTATTTTCAGTAGGGCCCCAGCAGGGAGAAAGCACTGCCCCAGCTCCCCACCACCACCACCACCAGAGCTGGGAGAAACTTAGAACCTCCCCTAGGCATCAGGCCAGTGAGAGAATGGCAGGTGGGGAGGGGGGGTGAGGGAGGAAGGCTACAGGCAAGCAGAGGTGGAGGTCTGTCTCAGGGCTTCACCTATGGCAGCTGCTGTGTTGGCAAGGGGGTTGAGAACATGGGATGGGACAGTGACTGACTGGAGAAAAGGGCAGCTAGTGGCAAAGGCCTTGAACATAAGAGAGAAGGGGAAACGCCACCGAACACGCGGGGATGAAAACCTCCAAAAGCCCAAGGTTGGTGGGAATCCAGCACCATGGGGGTGTGGGGAGGGGGAGGGGGGCCCCAAAGGGCCAAGGGAGCAGCATGGGGCCCTGGGGGAGGAGAGAGGAGCAGAAGATGGTTCCCCAGCCTTTGCACACCATCTCAACCACCAAGCAGCCTCCTGGCCGCCCAGTCAGTCTGAGGCTGCAGCGTAGAGGCCCCCAGGGAGGTATTGGTTGCAAGCAAGCACCTGAATATTGCCTAATGGAACCAGCCAAAGCCCAGCGAAATCCATACGGGAGGTGGGCAGGTGCTACAGAGGTAGCCATAGCCTCCTTGGCTTGCCTCCCACCTGCAACCCCAGTCTCAATGTTTCTTAGCCAGTAACAGGCCCGCTGCTTCCAAAGTCCATCCTTGTAGTTCCGCCGTTGCTCAGCCACAAACCTCTGGCTGGCAGCCCCATGGTGGGCTGAGCTGGGCTGAGATTCGTGGCCCTTCTCCAAAGTCCTTCTGTGGCCCCAAGATCATCCTTCCATAGAGAATACGGGGGCCGGCCGTTTGCTCTACCAAGGGGAGGCCCAGGGCTTGTGCTGAACAGCTTGGCCTCTCTGTCCACGAGTTCCATGAGGGAGCCCACCCCCACCCCTCTCCAGGCCCCGCCCCCGTCAGTCAGTCTTGATGTGGCCATTGGCCAGGGCTGGAGGGCCACTGGGCTCCCCAGGCTCCGCGTCCTTGTCAAAGCGCAGGCGGAGGGTGTTGCGAATGATGAACTGCTCCATGATGAGGGCCCCACAGAACCAGGGCACCGCGTATTCCAGGGTGATGAGGCCCATGAAGTCAAAGTCGAACTGGGAGTAGTCCCAAGGGCAGGCGTTGAACTGGCGCAGGAGGAGGCCCGTGGTGAACTCCCACAGGTAGGTCCAGAGCGTGTAGATGAGGCAGCGCACCAGCAGCGGGCAGCGTGCGCGCAGGCGCAGGTACATGCGCTCCACGATGAGGATGGAGGTGCCGTAGATGAACAGGGCCCAGACGCTCGTGACGCCCGGAAACTTCCAGTTAAAATTCACCACGAACTCCCAGGCCGCGGTAAACATCACCTCGCAGAAGTAGCCGTGGATGGCGTACAGGTACCAGCGGGACAGCGCGGTCAGGGGCTCTGCAGAAGCCATGGCGCCAAGTGAGGCCTGTTGCTGGTGACACGGGAAGACATGAGGGAGGGCGTCACCTGGTTGTCCTCCCTAGGCAGTGCCTGGAGATTGCAAACCCACCTTTCCCTTTCCATCATCCCAAACAGGAGCTCTAACTCCCCCACACCCTCTTCCCCCCAGTCCTGCCCACCATTCTTTCCATCTGAGTACCCCAGATATCTATCTATCTATCTATCTATCTATCTATCTATCTATCTATCTATCTATCTATCTATCTATCTATCTATCTATCTATCTATCTATCTATCGAGTACCATGTGCCAGAGGATCCTCCATGTTGTAGCCCTGTGTCTGAATAAACCCCCTCCTCCTCCTTCTCTTCCTCCTTCTCCTTCTTTTTATTTTTTTGTATAGTACTGGGGCTTGAACTCAGAGCCTCATCCTCTCCCTGGCCTTTCTCAGTCAAGGCTAGTGCTCTACCACTGAGCTACATCTCCACTTCTGGCTTTTTTACTGGTTAACTGCATCTACCAGTTTCACAGACTTTTCTGCCCCAGCTGGTTTCAAACTACAAACTACTCAGCTTCTAGAGAAGTTAGAATTGCAGGTGTGAGCCACTAGCACCTGGCTCCCTTCCTTTAGAAGGCTGAATAAATTCCACCAGCTGGGATATTTTGTTTATCCACCTATCTGTTCATAAATACCTTGGGTTGCTTCCACCTGTGAACTGCTGGGAATAATGGTACTGTGATTATGAGTGTACAAACATCTCCTCCACACCTAGATCTTTTGTTCTATTCCAGAAGTGGAATTACATGATAAATTCTAAGGTTATTCTACGGTTGCCTTTTTGAAGAACTAACATACTGCTTTCCACAGTTGACATTCTAGGACCAATGCACAAATGTTCCTGTTTCCTCCGCATCTTTGCCAACATTTTTTTTCTATTTTCTTGACAATGACCATCCTAATGAAACACCTAAAGTTGTATCTCCTTTTCTTCACTTTTTGTTGTTTTTGTTGTTGTTTTTGGTCGGTCATGGGGCTTGAACTCAGGGCTTGGGTGCTGTCCCTGAGCTTTTGTGCTTAAGGCTAGCACCCTACCACTTTGAGGCACGGTGCCACTTCTGGTTTTCTGGTAGTTAATTAGAGATAAGAGTCTCATGGATTTTCCTGTCAGGCTGGCTTTAAACCATGATCCTCAGATCTCGGCCTTGTGATAGCTAGGATTATAGATGCAGTTACCTGAAGCTGGCATTTCACATTTGTTTTTCACTGCTACATTGGGTGAAGTCTTAGTGTTAAGTTTTGAGTGTCGAGGGGAAGCAGTGGGCTGACAGACCTTTCTCTCCTTCCCCCTCCTTTTCAAACCTCATTAGTTTGCATGGTCTTGCTCCCATCTTTTCCTGCTTCCCTGAAGTCTGTCCTGGACAACTGGCCTCTAGCTTTTTTGTCGTATACCAGACAGGGTCTTGACCACTCATTTGGCTCATTATCAGATGCTACCATACGTACTGAAATGTATTTATTGTTGTTGTTTTTGTGCTGGTCCCAGGGCTTGAACACAGGGACTGATCACAGTCTCTGAGCTTTTTTGCTCAAGGCTAGCACTCCACTTCTGCCTTTTTGATGGTCAATTGGAGATAAGAGTCTCATAGACTTTCCTGCCCTGGCTGACTTCCAAGCAAAATCCTCAGATCTCAGCCTCCTGAGTAGCTAGGATTATAGGTGTGAGCAACTGGTTCATACCTGGCTATACTGTTGGGGGTTTTGTTTGTTTTAAGGACAGGGTCTCATTACCAAGCTGGCTTCTGAGTGCTGGGATTATAACTGTGCAGTTTCTACTTTTGTTTTTTTGATGTACAAGCCTTTATGACCCAACTAGCCTGCGAACTCCTTGAGGGCACATTAGTTTATAGCCTTGTTTTGTAGCTGCTGGCATAGCCCTCTGCTGAACATGAGCCTAAATAACATGGCCTTTTTATGCAGAGAAAGATGTGGGAGAGTTCAAGGGTTGCATCAAGAACAGGATGGTCTGCCAGCTGCCAGAGGACACTTGGCTTGATATCTGTCAATCTCCTCTCCAAGATGGGGGTAAGGACAAAGGTTAAGAAGACACCTGTGGACTGGGAAGGTGGCTTAGTGGTAGTATGCATGCATGAGGCCCTGGGTTTGATTCCTTAGGACCACATAAGCAGAAAAATCCAGAAGTGGTGCTGTGGCTCAAGTAGTAGAGTACTAGCCTTTAGTTGAAGAGCTGAGGGACAGCACCCAGGCCCAGAGTTCAGGCCCCATGACTGACAGAAAAAAAAAAGAAGAAGAAGAAGACACCTGTAATTTACCTACCACCTGGGGATCCTGGCATCATCTTTTGGCTAATACAAGCCTCATTGTCACAATAGCTAACTCACCGTTGTGCAGCATTTACATTCTTCCTAGCACTTTAATTATACTTGTTTTCACTAGCTCTTAATTAGGATTCATGTGAAACACAGGTAGTTTTATTCCTACTTTGTGAGTGAAGCAGTGTGGCTTAGAGAAGAGTAATGATTTGTCTTACATCCAGTAAATGGAAGAGCTGAGACTAGGGCAGATTTCTCTCTCTCTCTCTCTCTCTCTCTCTCTCTCTCTCTCTCTCTCTCTCTCTTTCTCTCTGTGTTTAAACAAGTTCTCACTGTGTAGCTCAGCCTAGCCTTGAACTCTCAATTCTCCTGCCTCAGCCTTTCAGTTACTAGAGTTAAAGTCATGTTGCAAACATACTTGGCTACTTAGAACCAATATCTCCTGATTTCTACTTCAAAACTCATCTTGTTGCACATAACTACCCATCTCCAAACCAAGTATGCATCATGTCACTTACTCAGATGGCTGCCCACCTCCTAATGAAGCACTACAGCATTCTTGGTCTGACATTCAAAACTTTATGATCTTTCCCTATGCTGATGTGCGTCCTGTTCATTCTGTGTGATGTGCCCTCTCCTCTTACCTCTACAGGTTCAAACTCAGTGTCCAGTTGATCTTCAAAACAAAATATCAGCCGGGCGCTGGTGGCTCACGCCTGTAATCCTAGCTACTCAGGAGGCTGAGATCTGAGGATCGCGGTTCAAAGCCAGCCCGGGCAGGAGAGACCATGAGACTCCTATCTCCAATAAACCACCAGAAAACCGGAAGTGGCGCTGTAGCTCAAGTGGTAGAGCACTTGCCTTGAGCTGATAGAGCTGAGGGACAGCGCCCAGGCCCAGAGTTCAAGCCCCACGACCGACAAAAAAAAAAAAAAAAAAATCTCCTCTTCTAAATTTCTACAGCACTTCCTCTGTCTTCTTTCTTTCTTTCTTTCTTTCTCAGTCATGGGGCCTGAACTCTGGGCCTGGTCACTGTCCCTCAGCTCTTCAGCTCAAGGTTAGCACTCTACCACTTGAGCCAAAGTGCCACTTCCAGCTTTTTCTGCTTATGTAGTGCTGAGGAATCAAACCCAGGGCCTCATGCATGCAAGGCAAGCACTCTACCACTGAACCATCTTCCCAGCCCTTTTTCTTTGGTACAGAGTATTTTGTTATATTGCTAACTTCCAGTCCCAAGCCAGACCTTTCTTTTCTGTACCTACAACATACTTTTCTTTGTACATCTCCACCTGAAATGTCCCACAGGCACCTCAAACTCCTTTCCAATCAAACTCAATCTTTCTCCCTCCCATTCCATCCTGACTAATGGTACCACCAAGCACTGAGAAACCAGAGGCCGTGAATAACTCCAGCATGTCCTGTCATTTCCCCACACTACCCAGGGTTGCAGAGAGTAAGGACCTGTCTGTCTGGTTCAGTGCTGAATCTCAATGCCTGGCACTGTGCCCAGCACACACATACGCATTCAGCAAAGGAATGAAGATGTTTCTCAAGCAGTTACTAAATGCCACTGACAAATCAGCCCAAAACTTGGTGACCTGAATCACCTATTATTTACTACTCAGTTCACATGTGTATGGATTAGATCTTGCCTGGCATGATTGTGAGGGTGTGAGTCATCAGAAGCTCTGTTCTATGCTTGGCTGGGGAAGTTGAGCTGGGGTCTGTCCCTCTGTTCCATAGATACACTCAGTACATCCGGCATACTCAGCATATGGTATGTGCATTCGTTTTACAGGACTTGAGGTCTCTTTAGGTCTGTGTGTGTGTGGCAAATTTAGGGTGTGTGATATAAGCAGCTAGATGTAGTTGTTGCTAAACTTTTCTGTATCTTTACATAGATGCGCACCTTTGTAAAATCAGTCATGTGTTTGGAGTCTCCTTTCTCTTACCATTATATGAAATATCCTAGCAGCTGCTAATGCTAGCTTCAGATAAATCATAGCAAAGTCAGTACTATGTGTCACACAGAGGGCAATGGGGTCATGGGTCATTGGGGTTTGTGACAAGGTGGAAAGGTTATCCCAAGGACTAAAGATAGCAATGTCAAGATCCAGAGGACAGGTTCTGAGGCAGAAGAGTCTGGAATGGCTTTGCCAACTCTCCCTAGAAGTGTAGGTGTTAAAAGCCCACTAATGGGCTTTACGTGGGAGAAATAATCATAGTGGCATTTTAGAAATAATTCCTTCTGTTGTTGTTTGAGACAGAGTGTCAGGTTGTACTGAACTCCTTGAATGCACCCCCAACAGCAAACCATCACCAAGGGATAGATATGGAGCCTCTGGGCTCAGCGGCCCAGATCCTAACTGCCCGGGCTAGAGTCTGGCCTGATAGGCTACCTCTGTGGAATCTTTTGGGGAGTTACCCAAATGCCCCAAACCTCTGTTTCCCTACAGGAGAAGAACAATAGGAATAACTACCTCCAGGGTTTTGTGAGGCTGAATGAACTCATAGGCATGTACTATTCAATATAGCAACTGTTCCCCAATGGGTACTGTCCTTCCTGGCCCAGAGCCAGGCATCTATATAGCCTTTCGTTCTTTTTTTTTTTTGGGGGGGGGGGGGGGGGTGCCGGTCATGGGGCCTGATCTCTGGAACTGGTTACTGTCCCTCAGCTCTTCAGCTCAAGGCTAGCACGCTACCACTTGAGCCACAGCGCCACTTCCAGATTTTTTTTCTTTTTGCTCATGTGGTGCTGAGGAATTGAACCCAGGGTCTCATGCATGCAAGGCAAGAACTCTACCACTGAGCCACCTTCCCAGCCCTATATAGCCTCCCTTGGTTCAAGGGCCATGTCCTACCTGAGGAAGAATCACAGTGCTCTTGTCCCTCACCAGTCTCAGGACCGCTTTCCCTACCAGCTGCAAGGTCTTTACCCTACCCAGAGTGCCAAGCCAGTCAGCCAGGCAACACTGACGAAACAGTAACCTCACACACAGTCTAGGAGAACTGCCCACTTCCCTGTGATTGAATTGAGGTGAAGGGCCAGCCCTGAGGATCAGGCTTGGAAAGAAGGTAGAATAAAAGAGTGGGCATGCCAAGAACAGCTTCTCAAATGCTCACTTTATCCTGAAACCCCTCTTTAGGCAAAGAGATTGACTCCAAGGAAATGCAGAAGAGGCTGACAGCCCCTGAGACCTGTGGCCCAGGCCCAGGGATACAGAGACCACTCGACCTTCTGCTATGACTTGGCTCCTTGGAACTTAGAGCTGCCTGCCTGCCCTGCATACCATCCCTGGCCCTCCCTGGGCAAGGGAGATGTGCTCCCGGGATCCTGGGCTGAGAAAGGGGTTTTCCAGTCAGCGTTCTCCTACAGCAGCCTGATATGACTGCATGGATCTTACTCAAGCCAGCCCCCTCATCTTGATGCTGATTTTGAACCCTGCTCTCTTGCCTCTGATCTCATCTTCCTTGGGAGGTCAAGAATGGTTTCCTAGCTGGTGGAAACCACAGGCTCCAGTCTTTCCCAGGTGATCTGGAAGAGCTAGATTCCAAAACCCTCAGCAGAAGTAAGATGAAAGTGTGAAAAGGGGCAAACTCAGAACAAGAAGAAAAACAGGGGGAGCCCCAGGCCTGGGTTCTTTTTCTGGACAGCAGGAAGTACTTGTAAAGATGAGACAGAACCATACCTAGGCAAGGTCAGATCTTGTCTGAGGGGTTGTGCCAGGAAAACACAGTTGGTGCTCTCAAGAAGAATGAGGTCAACTGAAAGACCTGGCTGGGGAAAGAAGATGGGACTTCAGACAAAGGAACATGAGACAGTGTTTGGGGCTTGGATGCTTGGGGTAGGGGGTGGGGGGATGGAAGATACTAAGATTAGAGCTGAGGCTCTGGCTTGGGAGTATGTTCAGAATTCAACTCCCAAATCTATTTTCTTTTCCCTCCCTCCCTCCCTCCCTCCCTCCCTCCCTTCCTTCCTTCCTCTCTCTCTCTCTCTCTCTCTCTCTTTCTTTTGTGCTAGTTCTGAGGCTCGAACTAGCCAGCCATGGTGGTGCACACTGGTAATCAGAGAGGAGGATGAGGCAGGAGGATCACAAATTCAAAAAAACCTGAGGCTTGAACTCAGAGTCTGAGTGCTGTCCGTAAACTTCTTTTTTGCGCAATACTAGCTCTCTACCACTTGAGCCACAGCTCCATTTTCAGCTTTTTGTTGGTTTGTTGGAGATGAGTCTCACACACATTCCTGACAGGAATTGTTGGCTTCAAACTGTGAACTTCAGATCTCAGCTGTGCCCAGCTAGCCAATCTTATTTCTGACAATCACAGAAGCCGTGGCTAGACCCTGAGCGAGGACAGGCTCACCACCCTCTTCTGGGCTCCAGTCTCCTTAACCTGACCCCCTTTCCCTTGGACCCCTTCCAATACTTCCTTACTCAGCCTAGGAATCAGAGTCCTGGGAAATCCTGCGCAAGAGGAACCTGCAGCTTGGTGGGTGTTGGCTTCTTTCTCCTGGTGACAAACAGCCATCCTGAGGACTGTGATACAAGGAGTGAACAGCCCAGAAAAGAAAGTTCAAGTGTGTAGGCATGCGTGAGAAGGGCTGGAAGCAGGAAAAAAGCTTTTGGAGAGCAGTGATGACTTAACACGCAGAAGTTTGGGAAATAATGATTCTGAGAAGCCCTTGCTAATGAAGAGCCTGAGAACAGGGAATCCCGTGAAGGGCCGGAGCTCCAGGCGACTTGTCAGAGAACTACCTATTGTGGCAAAGTGGAGAAGTCCCTAGGAGAATCTTACCTGCTCCTCTTAGAGCCTGCTAAGCTCTGCCACAGTGTGGCGAGCAAAGTGAGAGCAGCGTGAGCAGCAGAGACTGGCAAGGAGACGGCCTTAAAAGACCACGACAAGCTGTAGGCAAAGCCAGATGGAATGACTGCCTTCGGTTTTGCCAAAAACTCTCATCTTGTTCCAGGAAGCTGAGTGCCCACAACACAATGACTCTGGGAACTTTTGTCCCAAGATGCATCTTCCTGGAAAAATAGACTTGCCTGCATGCAATTAGGCTGGCCACACCATTCACTTCCCTCTCAATCCACTACATTTCCATGTTTTTGTTTTTTTTTCCCCAGGGCTGAGAACCGAACCCAGGGCCTTGCGTGCGCCAGGCGGGCACCCTTCCGCTGGGCTAAACCCCCAGCCCCTACATTTCCATGTTCTAGGGAGACACACAGCACTCCTAAGAGGCCCTGGGGACAAGGCAGTGAGATTCAGCTTTAGAGACCTCAAGTCAGTCCCTAGCTAGGTCTGTGCTTGGGGAGAGGAGAGTCAACAAGAAAAGGACAATTATTCCATATCTGGGGTAAGTTAAAAGTTCTAAAATTGTTGGGTGCCAGTGGCTCAGGCCTGTAACCCTAGCTACTCAAGAGGCTGAGATATTAGGATCATGGTTCAAAGCCAGGATAGGCAGGAAAGTTTGTGAGACTCTTATCTCCAATTAACCACCAAAAACTAAGAAGTAGAACTATGGTTCAAGTGGTAGAGTGTTAGCCTCAAGAAACAAACAAAAGAATGAAAAAAAGAAAGAAAAGAAAGAGAAAAAGAAAAAAAGGAAGGAAGGAAGGAAGAAGCCTCAAGAAACAAACAAAAGAATGAAAAAAAGAAAGAGAAAAGAAAGATAGAAAAAGAAAAAAGGGAAGGAAGGAAGGAAGGAAAAGGAAGGAAGGAAGGAAGGAAAAGTTCTGAACTAATTCTGAGCTAGGGGGCTGGGAAGATGGCTCAGTGGTAGAGCGCTTGCCTTGCATGCATGAGGCCCTGGGTTCAATTCCTCAGCACCACATAAACAAAAAAAAAAAAACCGGAAGTGGCGCTGTGGCTCAAGTGGTAGAGCGCTAGCCTTGAGCTGAAGAGCTGAGGGACAGCGCCCAGGCCCGGAGTTCAGGCCCCACGACCGGACCCCAAAAAAAAAAAAAAATTCTGAGCTAAACTTGTAGCAAAGGTAGTGTGAGGAGGAAAACAGCTTTTCTCTAGGGCCAGAAAGGAAGCAAGAGGGGTGGGGAACCTGTGACCACTAGCTGGGTATGCTTGCTATGGGTATTGCTCAGGACAGATTTGAGGAGGAAAGTCCATGAGACTCTTCAATAAACTACCAGAACAGGCCGGAAGTGGTACTATGGCTCAAGTGGTAGAAGGCTCACCTGAGCTGAAGGACAGCGCCCAGGCCCAGAGTTTAAGCTCCCATCACCCCCAGCCCCCCCCCTCCCCCGCAAAAAGTAAAAAGCTGACCCTCACAGGACCATGGCAGCCCTCAGAGCCTCAGTGTAAGAACCATTCTTGCCAGGGGGCGCATTACCCAGAGCTTTCCTTACTGCCAGCCCTGCTGTGGAAATGCCAGCCAGGAGCAATGGCCTGTGTGCAGCTGCCTAGAGGAGCCATCTGCCCAGAGTATCAAAGACAACTGTTCCACACAGGATTTTAGAGGGACTCAGAGAATAACCAAATTCCTACCTGGAGCATGGGCAAAGGGGGCAAGTGGGCTTGGTGAGTGGAGCCAATGCTAGCCTAGAGGTCCACAAGCCTCAGGGCACAAAGGGCACCCTTCAGGTGGGATCCACAGGCTGAGCATCTGAGTATAGATTAGACTGCTCTTCTCAGACCTCCATATGACTTCCTCTCTGTTGTTCGTCTGTCTCAGCTCAGCTGTCACCCCTGAGGCCTTCTCTGGCTCCCCAATCCAACATAGCTCACGTCTTCCCATCTTTTTATTCGTTTTTGGAGACAGGGTCTCACTCTTATCCCTAGCTGACCTGGAACTTGCCATCTTCTTGCTATGGGATTACCTGAGGGCTGGGATTACCGGTATGTACCACCATGTCCAGTTATTCCCTACCACCTTATTTTCTTCACAGCATTTTGCTGCTTATTTATAGTATGTCCCAAATTGCAATGGAGGACGGGGCTTTGTTTTCTTCACTTGGGGTAACTTCAAAAATACTTGTGGAATAGATGGATGGATGGTTGGGCCTAAACAGGCCCAAACCCTTAAATACTGATTAGGCAGTTGTAAACCACTAGCTGGCTCAGCTTTTCTCCTCTCCTCATCTTGAAGAATATAGCCCTTAAATTTTTAATTCTAGCATTTAAAAATAGCTTTATTGTTATTTTTCAATTACTAAAACAACATGAGTTCACAGCTGAAATTTAAATATTATAAAAAGGAATGACTTAGCAAGCAAAAGCCTCTTCAATCCCACATCTTAGAGAAAGCCACTTTTAATGTCTATAGTCGATCCCATTAAATAACTTTAAAAGGATTCAATCCATGCACCATTGAAAGGCAAAGCACTCATCACAACACCAAACTAATAGCCACCATCATTTCCTCTGTACAATTCCTCCTCACGTATGAGCTTCACAGTTCTCAAAACATGCTTGTTCTCTATAACCTGCCATTTTTACTTAGAACTTTTTCAAAGTTGTAATAGAGCCTGCGTGCTCATTATCAAAATGACTATGTGATATTCTACCAAGTTGAAAACTGTAATTAGCCAAGATACTCAAACGAAATCATTATTTCCCATTTCCACCATTCCACTATTTCCACTATTAGAGATGACACCCCAGAAATTCCTTGTATTTCTGCAAGAGCCATTTGCTTTTGGGGGACTATTTCCTAATGAAAGATTTCTATTTTTTTTTTCATTTTTAGACAGTACATCATTATGTAGCACAGGCTGACCTCAAAATTACCATCTGCTTGCCTGAGCTTCCCCAAGTGCTGAGATTACAGGTACGTACCACACCACTCCTGGCCCTATTGAAATATTTTTAATGAGTTAGTTCAGGTGTGGAATCACTAGATCAAGGTGTACAACAATCTTAAGGACAATGCTATAGATTTCTCAAAGGACCTCCGTCACTGTGGAGGGGGGGGTGTTCGGGGTGGGGGGGAGGGAATAGACCTTACATCTGAGTCACTACATTCCATTCCCTTAATGGCCTCATGGCTGACTCCCTACTCCCAATCCCCCTCAAGTCCATACTGGTTCATACCACTCAGGCTACAAATATACACAAGAGGACTGTTTGAAAGACCTGTTAATCACAACCTGGTCTTGAAAGCCCAAAGCTGAGCGTGAAAATGCTTCTGGTCCTGAGCTGCAAACACGTATCTGGAGAGTCAAGATCTGCCCACAGCTGAGAAATAACCCAGTGACCCCTTTTCCATCTCCCTGCAGACTCCTGCACAGAGGCTCTGAGCTCCCATGGACCAGCCCACAAGCTCCCAAAAGCCTGTCCGCATAAGACCACCAAAGCACTAGCTCTGTTTTCCCTACCTTGCAAGGAGCTCTTTTCCTACTGGTCTTAGACCCCACTGTTGGACTTCAGGCCAGATGGACTTTGTTGGGGCTTGGGACTACAGCCAATTGTTATTTTTTTAAGCACCAAGGAAAAGTTAGAGGGGCTAGGAAGGTGGATCAGTGGTTGAGTGCTTGCCTTGCATACATGAGGCCCTGGATTCCATTCCTTAGCACCACATAAGCAGAAAAAGCTGGAAGTGGCGCTGTGGCTCAAGTGGTAGAGCACTAGCCTTGAGCTGAAGAGCTGAGGGATAGCGCCCAGACCCTGAGTTCAGGCCCCATGACTGACAAAAAAAAGAAAAAAAGAAAAAGAAAAGATAAGAAAAGAAACGTTAGAGGCAGAGGCTGGGGGTGGGGGTGGGGTGGAGGAGAAGAAGGGCCAGATGAAGACAGAAATGGTTCCTTGGTCAGAGGTCTGTCACCCTACATGGGGTTTCTCTGGTTTTAGAAAGAGGTGCTGCTGAAGAGCAAAAGGACTTGCTCCTCCTGGCTTCCTGAGAGGTCATTTTCATTTTATTTTATTTTTTGCAGTTCTGGAGTTTGGACTCAGGGCCTCTTTTTTTTTTTTTCTTTTTTTTTTGTCGGTCGTGGGGCTTGAACTCTGGGCCTGGGAGCTGTCCCTCAGCTCTTCAGCTCAAGGCAAGCACTCTACCACTTGAGCTACAGTGCCACTTCCGGTTTTCTGGTGGTTTATTGGAGATAGGAGTCTCACAGTCTCTTCTACCCTGGCTGGCTTTCAGGGCCTCTTTCTTGCTAGATAGATGCTCTGCCACTTAAACCATGCCACAGCCCTTGTGCAGAAGCCATCTTTTTGGCAGTATGGGGGTCACATTTTTGGTAGCTAAGTTTACTCCACAAATTCCCTTCTCTAGGAGGGACCCTAGATGTTCTACTCAAGGTCTCTTGGACTGTACTGTAAGAATTGCTCATGGCAAAAGAAGCTCAGGGACAGTACCCAGGCCCCGAGTTCAAGCCCCAGGATTGGCAAATACAAAAAGAAAAAAAGAAAGAATTGCTTATGGTATTGGAAAGAATCTCCATTCAAGGATAGGCACACATCCCACTGCACAGAAGTAAAACCTGATACCCTAAGTCCACAAGAGCCTATTGCTAAGAAAGAATGCAGGAATGGCCTCTCCCAGGTGCTAGTGCCTGGCTTCACTTATGTCAGCCAGTCTGGGTCTGACCCAGTTTTTAGATGTCAGGTGGCTGCAAGATGGCTCCAACAGTGACATGGCCTGAAATGTTCCATTCTGCCTAGCCGTTCTAGAACTGTAGCCACATGACAAGCCCTTGGACAGACTCAGAACTGAAATCCCTGGACTCATGCCATTTCAGATGGGACACTGGATACACAAACAGGCAGGGGCATTTTTTTCATGTTTTGGTGCCAAAACATACTCACTTATCTCAGCCTTGAGTGAGTGGTTCAGAACTGACATCAGGATCACTGTGTAGGCGAGCTCTGGCTTAACCTTTGTCTTGGTGCCACACCAGGGATCAGCAATGTGGGCAAGTATCAGCCCCAGGGCTCAGCTGATCCTTGGCTTCCATGTGCCCCTGGGAACAAAAGAAGAGGCCTTTGTAAGCTTAATCTTCCCCAGCCCTGAGCCACTACACCAGCCAGAGATTCAGGTGCAAGGCCCAGGGTTCTGCAGCAGCCCACCAGTTCCCTTCCTCTCCTGGAACCTGCCATCTCGTCTCTGCTGTCCTGTCTGCTCATGATTGGTGATAATCATGCCATGAGAGCCTGAGCTGGTTCTTGGCCAGTCCACACATGGGGTCAGGACTTAGGACCTCTTGTGTCATGAGTGAATGAGTGTGTACACACTTGTAAACCTGAGACAGAATATAATTTTAAAATCTAGCTTCATTCTTAGCTTCAAATGACACTTTTACCTCGCAGTGGGCACATCTGTTATCAAGGGCAATTGAGAACCCCATAGAAGGCACACATTGTAGGACATCTGTTTTAGAATTTGGGGAATCAAATATAATCACACACAGAAAAATAAAAGGCAAACAAAAGATGTGCTAAAACCCTTTACCTGCAATCCACCATCCTAATATTTATCTCTTTATATATATTTTTAACCATGATTATTGCTAAGGCCCTTACTATTTATATTAACAACTGGCTCTAAACTGATATAAATCTTACTGCATAGTTTTACTACATACATGTTTTTAATAATACCCCCAAGATTTGACCATTTGTTTTTGGTTTTTTGGTGCAGGCCTTGGAATTTGAACTCAGGACCTGTGTAATGTCCCTGAGCATTTGTGCTCAAGGCCAGCTCTCTACCACTTGAACCACAGCTTCACTTAGGCTTTTTTGGTAGTTCATTAGAGACGAGTCTCGTGGGTTTTCCTGCCCAGACTGGCTCCAAATCACAAATCCTGGGATCTCAGCCTCCTAAGTAGCTAAGATTACAGGCGTAAGCCACCAGTGCCAGCTGATTTGACCATTTGCTAGAGAGGTCAACATATTTTGTTGCATCGTGTACACAGATGCAGACTTCCCTTTGGAACCCCCTTGACACAGAGCTTGCACAACCCAAGAGGAGGGCTCAGCCCAGCAAGGTGACTTCAGTGAGAACAGTATGTGGCTGATGACAGCCCCATCCTCCTCTCCAGCCCACTCAAGAAGGGTAGGCCACAGAGGTGCCAGCTAGTGCCAATGCCCACATCCAGCTCCTTCCCTCTCCCCCCTCCAGACTTTTAACAGATACAAATCCTTTCTCTCCCTTTGTCCCCTAAGCTGATAACTTGCATGGGAGGAGAGCAAAGAAGTAAAAGGAAAAGGGTTCAGGACTTAAATCTTACTATATCAGGTATATTTGGGGGTGCCCCTGGGCCTCCCCTTGGGGCCTCTGTGCCGAGAAAAGTGAAAGTCAGGTATGAAGTGCAGTGGTGTCTGTGCTTGGCCTTGCCTGGCCCTGGCCCTCCCCAGCCCTTCCACAAACAGGAACCTCCAGCTCACCCCCACTGTACATCCTCCTCCCCTCTCCCAGTCTGCCAGATGAGGGGCAGGGGTTACCCTGGCACGTACCTATCAGCTGGAAGAAAGGGCCTTAACGAAGTATGCCTGATAACCTCTACAACCAGCACCACTGTGACACATGGCCTAAGATGTTTAGTCTTACTCATGAGCCCTTCCCCTTCCCCGGGGCCTTCAAAAGACCACAGCAGAGCAGGAGACAAAACAGAAACGGAAACCAAAGACCACATCCTGCCAGTGGAATCTGGTGGTGCTACAGTCAGGCCTGGAAGCCTGCTGTTGACTGAACTGCTGTCCTGAAAGATGAAGACACAGTGGTTAGAGCAGGTCCCTCCAGGAGCCAGCCTCTGGCTGGAGACTTGCTCTGCTTCCTGGTCTGCAAGCCTTTGCCCAAGGAGTGGATGAGATGCTAGTTTAACAGGATTACCACCTCTTCCTGGTAGAGCACAAGCCATCCCTACCTCCCTCTGACTCTCCCTGTCCTTCTAGAGAAAGTGCCAGTGGACAGAGCTCACCAAGCTCCTGGTAGATTACAGGACCCCAGCTAAAGGTCTGTAGGGAATAGGAATGTGGGAAGGGCCCTTTAAGCAAGGAGCCTGTTGTGGAACTTGAGCTTTTCTAGTGCATCATCTCACGCTCAGCACTCACATGAGAGTGACAATAATATCTCCAAGACTTGATATTTGTTTGTGTTCCACTTTAGGAACAAAAACACAGGCTCAGGAGAGTAAGGGATCTGGCTAAGTATACACGTTCAATGCAGATCCCATTCCTCAGGTTCCATGTGCCTCTCTGGAGCCCTGTACAGAACCCCTTCAAAGTGTTCCCATAGGATATGAACCATGCTTCCACTCACCCATCTGAAAATCACTCCATGTGTCTGTCTCCCCACCATGTGATGAATTCCTGGAGGCCACAGAATTTCTGTTGAATGGGCAGATAAGCAGGGTAGACAGGGCCCAGCTAAATTCTTGAGTGATAACCGCTCCTAGTAATGACTGGAATTAGTCTCTAATTTCTAAAGCATCATGGAAGAGCTGTCTCCCAGAAACATACTTACAATAACCAAGGCTGTCTCTGAAAATTCCATCACACTGGCTGAGGTGAAGAGAGATTGAGTAGATGGGTTGGGGGGTACATGAAAAAAAATACACAGGGAGACCTGGAGGTGTGGCTCAAATAGCAGAGCACCCCAGACAGGTTCCTAGATTGTCAGGGGTCCAGACTAGCTCAGACTGAAAAATAATAGTGCCTATTTTCTTATTTCTACAATGAGCAGGCAATCTCAAAAGGCACAGCCAGTTTTCACTCACAAGGATTGATTTCCCAAAGAGGTTTAACCAGCAGCTGCTGGCAGGAAATTCCTCTGTATCATTTTTTTCTCCTCTGTAACTATTTAGGGTAAGCTGGGCTTGCAGGATTCAGTCCAGTTCTCTGACCGGAACTTACATCTTCCCCAGCCCCCATCTCCATGTCCTGAACCCAAGACTGGAGCCAGAATGGATACAGGCAAGCAAACACCATCCCATTTACCTTCCCATTCTCCTCTTCTCAAACCTCCCAGAAAAAGATAAAGCACTCTCCTTCACAACACAGAATCTTTCTCAAATGTATGGGACTTCCCACATACTTCCACCCAGTAGCTCTCCAAGAAGACAGCTGCTTATTCCAGAATTCATCATGACGGATGCTCCCACCACAAGATAATACCAGATGCTTGCTTTTGAGGGCTCAGTCCCATAATACTGCCCCTCCAGATGCCAATCACAAGCAGTAACAAGTTATCACGTGTATTTCTGATAGGCTGAGTGCAAATCAGTTCCCAAGACCCTTATTTGATCCCTATTTGGTTGTCTGGTTCCTGGGACAACCATATGAAAGAAATGAATGTAGAAAAATACAGGGACAGGATTTACACTTGGCTACCTCCCAGTACCTCTATGTTCAGCCACTGGGAGCACAGCAAATATTGATGTCCGAGAGTTCCTATCCTTAGAGGTGGGTAGATGGGGCTAGATGGTCCAACCCTCTAATCTCATCCTTTGGTCTTTTGGTGTACGGCCCAGGCCAGGCTAGTTGAGGGTTCCAACATAAGGGCTTTATTCATAAAAACTCGGGTGCCACCAAAAGTTCCCATTATCAATAACACAGGAGTCTTTGACAGGAACCTGGACAAATAACAACTAGGTCTCTTATAATATATGCTTCCTTACCCAGGTGTCACAAAGTAAAGAGAAAATTCCCAAAGACCCATTAGGGAGCCCTCTGGTTCCTCCAAGCCCTTAGTTCTTCTCAGATAACCCAGAGCAATTGCTTTTACTCATCCTGGTAGTAAAACCAACCCTGAAGACTAATGGAATTGGCAACTTCGCAAACCACAAAGTGACCATGCACAGCTGCAAATGCAATTGGTCTTTCAGTCCTCCAAAGGACAAGTGGTATTTGGCCCCTTAGAAGCAAGGAAGAGACAGGGAAGTGGGTAGAAATGGCAGTTGGGGTCCCACTGTACTTGTCCTTGTCCCCTCACTCTAGGATTGGACCATGGATCTCCCTGCCTACTCTACACCATACCTCTGTCTTCTCCTTCATTTGGAGGCCACCTTGTCTATCAACCTTCCTCTCCTTCCTTCTTCCTCCCCATGTAGCTTATTGTACCTTACCTGCTTCTTCCAAGTCCCTCTCTGAGCAAACCCTGAAGGGCCAACTCCTATACCTGGGAGATTGGTCACTGGCCTCTTTCCTTCCCCCACCTCATCCTACTCCCTGGCACTGAGTTGCTCTTGCTTGCTGTCTGATAGGCGGGCCAGCTGCTAGGCTCTCTAATTAGCTGCCTGGCCACTTTCCCAGAGCTAGGCATGTGTTACAGTAAAGAGCTTCCTTCCCGCCCTTCAGCCATAATCCCCCATGCAGATCCCATCAGGCCACAGCCAGGGGGCTAGAAGCCTTGTCACATGAGGCCAGCAAACCTTCTCCTGTCAGCCAGAAAACAAGAGAGAACAGCCTCTCATTGACAACGTGACCTGGAGTTTATCTGGGTTCTTCCTATGACTGTCCATGTCCTTTAGGAACAAGGACTTTGCCCTTTGTCACCTCATCAGAGCAGGCAGAAAGTCGGAGGGTCTTTTGGAGTATAAGGCTAGACTGGTCCACCAGTGGGGCACTAATGCTCTGCTTCTACAACTAAGCCACTCAGTTCAAGAACCTGTTATTCAAGGTGTTGAGTTCCAGCAGTACTTGTGGAAGGACAGACACAGTACAAGGTATGGATAAGACAGTGCTCCTGCCCTGACCCTCCCCTCCCTCCGATGGATGGAAACATGATGAATGAGTAAACAATCTATCACTCATATTCTGCTGTGAAGAAGGGAAAAGGCTAGATTCTAGAAAGCTAGTCTTTCTCCCCTCCCTTCTTTCTTTTCTTTTCTTTCTCCATTGACTACTTAAACCCAGGGGCTCACAATGGCTAGGCAGTTGCTCCAACCACTTGAGCCATGCTCCAAACCCTATTTGAAGGTTCTGCTAATTTTTCCCAGAACTGACCTAGAACTTTCAGCTCAGCTACTCTACCTAGTGAGTACCTTGGATTATAGGTAAGTGTTCCATCATATCTAGCTAGGGAGAAAGATATTGGTAGCATTCAGGCATAGATAGGAAAGATGAGAAGAAATCACTCAAGGAGCTTAGGGAGAGGGAATAGTAGGTGAAGAGAATCTTACATCAGTGCAAGGTAAATAGTTTGAGAAATATTAAGGCCAAGTGATAAGACTGTGTGCTAAGTGTAAGGCCCTAGCTTTAAAAGGATCAAAGAAAAAATAAAGAGAAGGAAGGAAGGAAGGAAGGAAGGAAGGAAGGAAGGAAGGAAGGAAGGAAGGAAGGAAGGAAAATAGGAAGGCCAGAGCAGTTGGTATCGGTATGGTTCAAGGGCAAGGAATGGGTGCACCATCATGGTAAAACATCAGATCATCCTGGCTCCATGATTGGCTAGGGATGGATATATGCTCCAATAGGAGCCAATCCTGAGATTCTGGTTGGAATGAATGAAAAAGAATGCTACAAGAGGCTACTGCTGTAACTAAACCCAGCACTAGATCCAACATGGTAGGCTAAAAGCCAAAGTTCCTCACTACCAAGCAGAAATTAAACTGCTTATAGGAACTTCAGATAAATCAGGATTAGAGATAATAGTCAAATTTCTCACCTAGTCAAGTTTCATTTTTGTTGATTTTGTTTTGTTCTGGGTTTTTATTTCTGTTTTGTTTTGTCTTCTGCTGTGTTGGGGTTCCAACCCCAGCTTCACCCACAAATAGGCCATTTCAGTTAACACAATGGAGTCCCCTCTGCTTTAATTTTTTTTGGGGGGGGGTCAAGTGTGGGGCCTGAACTCTGGGCCTGGGCGCTGTCCCTCAGCTCTTCAGCTCAAGGCTAGCGCTCTACCACTTGAGCCACAGCGCCACTTCCGGCTTTTTTCTTTTTGCTTATGTGGTGCTGAGGAATCGAACCCAGTGCCTCGAGCATGCAAGGCAAGCGCTCTACCACTGAGCCACCTTCCCAGCCCCGCAGGTAACTTCTTTAATTAAAATATTAAAGCAGAGGCTATGAAGGTGGCTCAGTGGTAGAGCACTTGCTTTGCAAGCCTGAGGCCCTGGGTTTGATTCCTCAGCACCACATAAGCAAAAAGAAAAGCCGGAAGTGGCGCTGTGGCTCAAGTGGTAGAGCGCTAGCCTTGAGCTGAAGAGCTGAGGGACAGTGCCCAGGCCCAGAGTTCAGGCCCCACCACTGGAAAAAAAAAAAAAAAAATATATATATATATATATATATATATAAAGTTACCTGGGATGGGGGGAGGAATTCTGGCCCTCAATCTTTATAGAGCCCACTCCCCATGTCATCTCAAGGTTAAAATGTGAAGCGTAAACAAGATACAATGGGAAAGGCAAAGAGGACCAACTTCACAGGTAATGCCTTTCCCTACCTGTGCAACCTCTGTGCAATGGCCACAAAGGAGGGCCATATGCTTTTTATTTTATCCCTCCTCCCCGTCCTCCCCCATGGGATAAAAATCCCAAGACCCAACAGTTTCCAGGTAGTCAATCCTTACCTGAACTGTAGAGTATTAGTA